GGTCTCCTTTACAACTTTGATGGGAGTGCCATTTAAAGAAAGTTCTGGGTCCTTATGAGGCTTATATTTTCTACAAAAATGTATACAATTAGTTTTTGATTTAGAAAATTTAAAGCCATTTTCAAGACACCATTTATTTATTTTGTTTAAACATAACTGCAGTTGCCGTTCAATAGTATGCATATTTTTACCACGACAAGAATTTATTAAAATCATCCACAAATAATGAGCCATCAATGGAATCATTTAAAACCTTTGATAAACTATTGATCTTGATGCTAAACAGTGTGACAGACAAAATACTGCCTTGTGGGACACCCTGGTCCTGATTGTAATGATCAGACAGGGTTGAACCCACTCGGACTTGAAATTGCCTGTCTTTTAAAAATTGTGATATAAAAAGAGGCAAACGGCCTCTCAAACCAAAGTCATGTAAATCCTTCAAAATGCCATGCTTCCAGGTCGTATCATAGGCTTTCTCAAGATCAAAGAAAATTGATACAGCATGTTGTTTATTTACTAAAGCATTTTTAACAAAGGATTCTAAACGTACCAAATGATCAATGGTACTACGATTTTTCCTGAAACCACATTGAATATTTGTTATAAGGTTATTGGTTTCAAGATACCAAGTTAATCTATTATTCACCATACGTTCCATGGTTTTACAGACACAGCTAGTTAGAGATATCTGTCTGTAATTCGACGGATCTGTATGATCACTGCCAGGTTTTGGTATTGGGACTACGAAGGAGGAAATTCTCCAGACGTCCATATTTGGTCAAATATATCTAAAAGTGTCATCAGACATGGTTCAGGTAAGTGTTTCAGTAGCTGGTAATGTATATTATCATCACCCGCTGCAGTGTCATGAGCTTGCTCAAGAGCTGTATGTAGTTCATGTAATGAAAACACTTCGTTATAATCTTCACCGTTATTTGATCCGAAATTAAGTTTTGTCTTTTCCCGTTGTTTCTGATATCTCTGAAACTCAGGGACATAATTTGCCGATGATGAATGTTTGGCAAGAGTTTTGCCAATTTTATTTGCAATTTTAAACTTGTCAGTAATTAAATTATCACCATCTTTAAGATGGTGAACAGCAGATTTTGAACCTTTGCCTTTAATTCTTTGAACCATGTTCCATACCTTAGACATTGGCGTGCGTGAATTAATTTTGGAGACATAATTTCTCAAAGATTGTCGTTTGTTTTGTTTAAAGGTACGACGCGCCTTTGCATTGAATATTTTAAATTCATTTAAGTTATGGACAGTTGGATGATGGCGGAAATAACGCTCTGCCTTTTTCCTCGCTTTTCTGGCTTGTCTACAATCTGTATTAAACCATGGTTTTCGTACATGTGCAGTCGTAGAGGACTTTGGTATACACTCATCAGCTATTTCATTTAGAACATCAGCAAAGGTTTGAATGGGATCAGTTAAATCACTGAAACATTCAGGTCGCAATTTCGATTGACAAATAGTTTGATATAAAGACCAGTTAGCCTTCAAAAAGTTTGATCTTGCATACGATGGAAAATCAGATGGAGTTATTTCTGAAAGCATAGTTGGGAAGTGGTCACTTCCACAAAGGTCATTATGAACAGACCAATCAAATTCATTAAGGAGGTTAGAATCTGCAAGAGACAAATCCAGAGAAGAATAAGTGCCAGTTGCAGGATGCAGATAGGTGCTCGAATCATCATTAAATATGCACAGGTCATTATTGGAAATGAAATCTTCCAGTATTTTGCCTTTAGAATTAGTGTTAGTACTGCCCCAGAGTGTGTTGTGACCGTTTAGGTCACCCATGATAACACATGGCTTTGGGAGTTGATCATAGAGTGATTGAAGATCAGTCAGCTGAAGGTTCAATGAAGGCGGAATATACAGAGAGCATAACGTAAATGCTACACCCAGAGTAAGTCGCACTGCAACAGCTTGGAGATTAGTGGTAAGTGTAACAGGGATGTGAAAAACATCCAGTCGTATAAGGATAGTAGAACCTCCAGTGGCTCCTGGAGGGGAAAAATAATGATACGGTTCAAACGGACGTGAGTTAAAATTATCTGTCTGTTAAAGATACGTCTCTTGCAGACAGAACGCTGATGGTGTTAAATCCTGGATTAATAGCTGTATTTCATTAAAATTTGTCCGTATTCCTCTACAGATCCACTGCACGATATGTTTAGATAGACCTATCTTTTAGGTTGATTAATGGGGATCTACCCCGCACCGTTTTCGAGGGCGACAAGCTATGTGCCCTAGATTGGACGTTTTCGGACACGTCCATGTCCTCAAGTGATCCGTATTTGTTAAATAATTTGACTTTATCATCTGACCCTTTAGGGGCTCTGCCACTTTGTTTTTTCCACGAATCTGGCTTCGGTTTGTTTATGCTTTTGACGATTTGCTGAACGTTTCTGGTAGATTGGGTCATTTGAGATGCCTGAGAAGATGTAACACGTTCAGAAGATGGTTCTGATTGGGTTTGGGCCGTGCCAGGAAGACTTAGTGGTTCCACAGTTTGTGTAGACACTGCAGGTGATAAGATCTCAGGAGACCCGGTTTTGAGCCATGTCAAGTTCGTCTGACAGCTTGCAGAGGACTTGGTTACTGTAGGAGTTATATCAGACGGTGATTTTGCTATGGAAGCATAAGTTTCCTTGATCTCAGATCTTAAGACAAACTTTTTTGCATCAGAGAAACTAATGTTTTGAGTAAATTTGATCTTATTGATCTCCATATGCTGTTTCCAGATTGGACAATCTTTGGAAAAGGATGAGTGAGTGCCTGCGCAGTTGGTACATTTCTTAAAGGTACTCTCACAATCTTCTGTTGTATGTATTGATTCATCATCCGAGCTCCCCACCCACCACGGAGTTTCATGAAGACAATGCTAAAAACAAGTGGGTCTCCAACTTGCAGCACCAAGGATACTCGGATGATATACTCAAGCAGAAAAACTAAAATAATAATTTTCCCACCAGTTTGGCCCATGAGTCACCGCCTTCTGCGCATAAGACTCTATGCAAATTACAAAATTGGAGTGACTCATTTGGAATTTAAATATATAAGCATCCATCCAAGACATATGATACATTTTAAACAGTTTCCGAACTTTGTGCATCACAATATACATACACAGGGCTTGGCATGACCAGCCGATTGGTTGAACCGGGACCATTCAACCACCCATCTAGGTGAAGTCAGGGCCGAAGTTGTGTGTTGGGCAAAGGAACACTGTTCCTGGAACCAGTGCCCTCAACCACCAGAATCCCTTCCTCCACCGACACAGGGGCGCAACCCACGGCAAACGGGTTGGTGGACCAAATATACCCCCGGGTCCACAACGGGGGGTCGAAGAGCGCTTAGCGTTACCCAGCACCCACCACGAGGAGGTGGCTCTTCACGGGTGCCAGATACGACAAGAAAGGTCAAGTACTGGTGATATTGAAGCTTCTATGGTAAAAGTTCCCAGTTATATCAGAAACAGGATACGACAAGAAAGGTCAAGTACTGGTGATATTGAAGCTTCTATGGTAAAAGTTCCCAGTTATATCAGAGACAGGATACGACAAGAAAGGTCAAGTACTGGTGATATTGAAGCTTCTATGGTAACAGTTCCCAGTTATATCAGGGACAGGACTGACTGACTGACTGCGTTTGGTTTTACGCCGCTTTTAGCAATATTCCAGCAACATTACGGCGGGGGACACCAGAAATGGGCTTCACACATTGTACCCAAGTGGGGATTCGAACCCGGGTCTTCGGCGTGACGAGCCAACGCTTTAACCACTAGGCTACCCCACCGCCCCATCAGGGACAGGACACAACAAGAAAGGTAAAGTACTGGGCCCCGTTCCTCATTGCGATCGTAGCGCTACGACTGTCGTAAGTCGATGTTAAAGTATGGGAGTTACAATCATCTCAGCGCTACGATCGCTTTGAGGAACGGGACCCAGGTGATATTGAAGCTTCTTCCGGTCACAGAAGAACTAAGAACTTTGATGACTCTTCTTAGCATCATTCATTAAAATCAGTCTCAAACCAATTTCTACAAATCTGTCTACCTAAATAGACACAGACACTGGATAATGGCGGCGAATACAAGGAACTTCAACTCAGGGCAATGCAATATTTCACGAATGATTTCTTTTATGTAAGCCTATAACACTCGATCCCGATCTGACGACAAGCATGGGTAGCTGAAGATCGATTCTAACCTGGATCTTCACGGGGCAGACAAGCATGCTTTCCTGAAGATCAGTTCTAACCAGGATCTTCATGTGTGTGGATGCAAGTTGTTTTTCTGAAGATCGATTCTAACCCGGATCTTCACGGGGAGGACAAGCATGCTTTCCTGAAGATCAGTTCTAACCAGGATCTTCATGTGTGTGGATGCAAGTTGTTTTTCTGAAGATCGATTCTAACCCGGATCTTCACGGGGAGGACAAGCATGCTTTCCTGAAGATCAGTTCTAACAAGGATCTTCATGTGTGTGGATGCAAGTTGTTTTCTGAAGATCGATTCTAACCCGGATCTTCACGGGGAGGACAAGCATGCTTTCCTGAAGATCAGTTCTAACAAGGATCTTCATGTGTGTGGATGCAAGTTGTTTTTCTGAAGATCGATTCTAACCCGGATCTTCACGGGGCAGACAAGCATGCTTTCCTGAAGATCAGTTCTAACAAGGATCTTCATGTGTGTGGATGCAAGTTGTTTTTCTGAAGATCGATTCTAACCCGGATCTTCACGGGGAGGACAAGCATGCTTTCCTGAAGATCAGTTCTAACAAGGATCTTCATGTGTGTGGATGCAAGTTGTTTTTCTGAAGATCGATTCTAACCCGGATCTTCACGGGGAGGACAAGCATGCTTTCCTGAAGATCAGTTCTAAAAGGATCTTCATGTGTGGAGACAATTATGTTTTCCTGACGACTAATTCTAACCAGGATCTTCACGGGGAGGATAAGCATGCTTCAATGGTCATGTACTTACCACTGGGTACATAAAGCTATATACAAATGAGCCTTTTGATGACACGAAGCAGAACCTGCCGAGGAACTCCCAGTCCTGAAACAGAAGAAAATAGGAAATAATTCCACTGAAACATGTTTCACAGTGTTCTAAATAACATGTGTATTGCATAAGATATGACCAATGAATCACCATTGAATCCTTTGCAATAAATGGCCAGTCCAAAAACCTAAGTACATAGGTATTCTGTGCATACAAATACACATTTACAATTTACAAAACTATAGTTATAATGACACTGTGTGACACTGTGCATCATTAACCACTCTAATCTTTCACGTCTTACATACTATTATGTAGTGCTCATAAAATGTCTGAGTCCCATGATGAGATTCGAACCACAGACCTTCTGATCTGAAGTCAGACACCTTGTCCACATCACCAAACACTTAACCTTATGAGCAGGCTGACAAAGTAAGAATGTAAGTAGCGGAATGACTCCACGCTCCGCTACACCTAATCACTGATGAATGTATTCATTACGTACACACGACCTCTAGTGTAGTGAATTATGCATGACGTGCTATGTCTGGCATATCATACTGTCCTACTGATCCTGAAACAAACATATCCAATACAGCCACAGCAAGTCTATAATCTGTGGCAAGTCTTGATTATTTCAGTTTCTGAAAATGAAGAACTTTCTGGGCTCCTTCTTGTTATCTTTTATTAAAATAAATAAAACTGTATTTTTCTGTAAAATATATTCATTTTGATTTTACATTGCTTTTAGCAATATTCTAGCAATATCACTGTACCGGATAGTAGAAAAGGGGCTTCACTCATTATACCCTTAGGGGGAATCGAACCCGGGTCTTCGGCGTGACAACGAATGCTTTAACCACTAGGCTACCCCGCCGTCCCCATTCATTTAAGACTGACTGAGATTAGTTTTACGCCGCTTTTAGCAACATTCCAGCAATATCACGGCGGGGGAGACCAGAAATGGGCTTCACACATTGAACCCATGTGGGGAATCGAACCCGGGTCTTCGGCGTGACGAGCCAACGCTTTAACCACTAGGCTACCCCGCCGCCCCATTCATTTCAGAGACAGATGTTAGCCTATGCATATCATAACCTAGACATTAATACTGTGTGCAGCCTTGTGCATTAGTCACATGACATACACGTGACACATATGCACGGTTGACCTTGATTACTAATTTCAAGGATTCTCACAGGATATTTGAGGCTATTGTAATGAAAGTAATGAAATTCGGTATTGTACTGGACAGCAGGATTTACTAATTATTTTGATTACAAGAACTTAATATTTCTCGTCAAGCTTGTGATATAATGAATATTATTGTCCATACCTCGCAATATTATATCTTCTACGTCCATTCTATTGTGCTTACTTGAAGCAAAAAGTTGGAGCAATCAGTTTATATTTATGGGGATTTATACAGGACACATTGGGCCCATGGCAGAGGGATTTATTTGACATTTTAGAAATCTGTGTGCCCGTATATGGACTGCTGTAGATCTATGGCTGCTGGCCTGTCACATGACCACCACTTCCTACGACATGACTAGCTGCAGGCCTGTCACATGACCACCACTTCCTACGACATGACTAGCTGCAGGCCTGTCACATGACCACCACATCCTACGACATGACTAGCTGCAGGCCTGTCACATGACCACCACTTCCTACGACATGACTAGCTGCAGGCCTGTCACATGGACACCACATCCTACGACATGACTAGCTGCAGGCCTGTCACATGACCACCACATCCTACGACATGACTAGCTGCAGGCCTGTCACATGACCACCACTTCCTACGACATGACTAGCTGCAGGCCTGTCACATGAACACCACTTCCTACGACATGACTAGCTGCAGGCCTGTCACATGAACACCACTTCCTACGACATGACTAGCTGCAGGCCTGTCACATGACCACCACTTCCTACGACATGACTAGCTGCAGGCCTGTCACATGGACACCACTTCCTACGACATGACTAGCTGCAAACCTGTCACATGGACACCACTTCCTACGACATGACTAGCTGCAGACCTGTCACATGAACACCACATCCTACGACATGACTAGGGGTGGGTATTGCAGAGAATTTTCATATTGCGATATATTGCGATGCGAAAGCATATATTGCGATATGTATTGCAATATATTGAAGAAGTTATTTTAACAAAAAAACTACTTATAATCGAGTTAATGCTTGATTTATAAAGGAAAAACACAACAAAATCACTATGCTTGATTAGCTTTAATAACAACTTTTAATTTACTTTACCATTGCATATTTAACATACAGCGTTCCCCTTATCAATAGTTCCATCTACCGTGAACTTTTTCAACTCAAAATGCTGCCATACTGAAACCTTTGCCCTTTCATTTGGCACCACAATAAATTGTTAGTTGTTGGGGGTCGCCATTTTACAACAAACGCATGACTTCCGGTGTGAAAAATGGAAATATCCGAAGAAATTACGAAGTTTTCTGTATGCATGTCAAAATACCGGTTTTCGATCAGCGTGTCACAATACATATTGTTTTCATGTCTGAACCAGTAAATACCGGTAAACCGGTTATATTGCGCAGCCCTAGCCATGACACTGTGTTATTTACTACCGGTTATTAACGACAATGGTCACATAGCATGAAGAAATTAATGTTTCATAAAATCAGCCAAAAGTATTATTACTATCTGCAAAAGTTTTACTAAACTAATTAGCAAAGATTTATCAATAACGTGGCTTGTGAGTGCGGAGCATCATCAGATGGCTTCTTAATTAATGGGTAAAGATATACGCCAGTCAGTATCTATTAGATCAGACTACTGGTAAATAGGTTATATATATACTACTCACAGGAAGTTAAGGATCATCCAGTTCTTCAATGTTAAACTAGTTAATCTGTCATGACATGATGTGACTTAACATGACGTGACATGACTGATTAACTATAGCACTATCATAGAAGTCTTTCTCTATTTCTATGGTAATATGAGTGAGTGAGTGAGTGAGTTTAGCTTTATGCCGCTTATACCAATATGCCAGCAATATCACGGCGGCGGAACACCAGAAATGGGCTTCACACATTGTTCCCATGTGGGGAATCGAACCTGGGTCTTCGGCGTGACGAGCAAACACTTTAACCACTGGGCTACCCTACCGATTTCTCGAAACATGTAATGAGCAACAACACTCTTATAATGTATATATATATATATATATATATATAAAAACCTGAAGTGTGCTTCTCACTATATATTAAGCATCTCTTCTTTTCCCGGAATAACCGCATTTGAGCTTTTTGTTTGCTCTCAGGTTTTACTTTTTGTAAGCAAGACCAGGTTTTACTTTTTGTAAGTAAGACCTCTTCCCAGGTTTTACTTTTTCCTATCTCTATATGAACATCAACATTCAAATGATATATGAGTGTTTGAAATCAATTGGAAAATATCGTCCAAGATCAATTTCAAAGTGCAAATGTTTTCCCAAGCTGGATTAGAACCACATCTATCAGGTTAATAAGCAGACGCTCTACCTCACAGCCACCAAGTCGACGAAGTTCGTGTTGATTTATCTATTTATAGTTACTGTCATTGAATTGATTTTACTTGCGCTTCAGTTATTGTTATGTAGCTTCATTAAATGATCATCTATATTATAATTATCCATCATGGACGGTTTATATGTTAGGGAAAACACTTCCCCTCGGTTTTGGTAGAGAATGTAAAACCTTGGGAGGAGGGAAATCCCTCGGTTTTACATTCTCTACCAAAACCTCAGGGGCGTGTTTTTTCCCATACGTAATACATGCTAACTAATCGATCTTTCGTAGAGGGTAATGTCCGAGTAACTCTCCATCCTTAAAAATAATGGAGCCGAGGCCCCTCCGGGGCCGATGCACATTATTGTTTAGGAATGGAGAGTTACGAGGATATTACCCTACTTAAATTACATTCAATGTATTGGTAATATTTCTGTTATCAAAATTAAATGTCAAAATGACAAAATGAAGTCTTAAATTTGAAACTGGTACACATCACACAGGTAATGGAGCGAGCAGACAATGGAATGACGTCACAAGTGTCATTTAATTAGTGTTAATTTGTTTTGTTCTTTCTCGAAATAGCATCTTGAAACGTGTACTGTCTACTACTGAGCAACAACACTGCTGCACCATGATTGTTAATAATGTAGTATGACATGAAAGTGTTAAGTCATCAAGGCAATACTTTTTTAACATTATTACCACTCAAAAAGAAGAAGGAAAATATAAGAAACGTAAACATGAAAAGAGTGAATTGTTTAACACGTTTCAAAAACAAAATAATTTACTGTCATTGTATGATTAAAAGTAATTTGTTGATAATATAATAAAAAATTAACATGCTAATTCAAAAGAGAACAAATTATGATGAATACCGGTAGTAAAAAAATACAATGGATGTACTTTTCCTTTATTTTTTTTATCTTCCAACAAGAATGTTTTGGACAAAACTCTGTAAAACGCCCTCCAACCATTAAAAGTGTTAATGAAAATCAAATGTAAGAATTTATCGAAGTGTATCGTTCAAGGTTTTGGCTGCGCGCCAAGTGATGGCAATCATTTCGCCTATTTGCAAAACTGTTGGTATGAGACTCATTCCTCACCTTTAAACTGTTTAGACTTTGCAATTAAAATAAGTCTCCTAGACACACTTGACAAACATATATATGGAAATATACAGTCATTTAACGCTCTTGGTAGTAGATCTAACGAAACGCTTTTTCTTGACGATGATGACATTCGCTTGCGACAATAACTAGCTAAGATACATAGCGTTCACTAGGCAGCACCTCCATAGGCCGCAATGGTGGAAATCCTTTGTCGCACTTTCGCGCACTCGTTACGATTTTTGCGCACGAAAAACTTATATGAATTACTTTTTTGTACATATACGTACACGTGCGCCCGATTTTCGTTATCAAAATATCAAAAAATATATATTTACAAGCCATCAAACATCTCAGTCCATCGCTCACATATGAGCGGGGCCATTTTGAATCACGTGACCTGTGACGCGAAGGGGATATCCCTCCCCAAAATAGTAACACACGCGTTCCATACCTCGTTGCTTGTTGACAACACATTTTCATACATTTTAGGCAATTAAAACGATTGTATGGAGATTTTCGTTTCCAATCTAGACTGACTGACCACCCCTGTTTTTTCAACAGCTGTTTTTTAAAGGAATTGCTGGTGAGTTTTCAATGCTTCATATAATATACGATTATTGCTGTCACCTTCACAGTTCCATGGGTGTCCCTGTACTACTCATGAATATTTGCCTACAAAACACAGTTTACTAATAAGACTTATTAGAATTTAGGAATTAAATAATTAACGAGTTCACAAATCAATTATCTATAAATTTCATTTGTACCATATAACCTAGATGTTCCTACATCAAGGGACAGTGTTTTTCATCATGAATTATGAACAAATACTAAAACAAGGGGATACATCTAGAAAGCAATTGTTAAAAGGGGAAGGATCATTCAAATTACAGCACAAAGCCAAATGTCAAATTATTAAAATGCGCTCCGTCCGTCCGTCCGTGCACATTTGTCTTTTCCGGAGCAGAACTTCAAAACCGTTCACTATTTCTTCACCAAACTTGGCACATAGATAGATCTGGTGGTGTACTGGTGCCTTTTGGTAGTTTGGGATTTCCGTATAAAATATTTTTGTGTGTGTTTCCATGGCAACAATTTCGACTTTGACTGAAATTGGTGGTAGTGTTCTTTTCAGGAGCAGAACTGTAAAACCGTTCAATGTTTTTCACCACAAATTGGTATATATATCAATCAGAACCTTAAGTGGTGCCTTGGCTATTTGCAGATTTTTGACATTTTTATTTTTCTCGGTTCCATGGAAACGATTTGGACTTAGTCTCAAAAAGTAGGGGTGGGCTTCTTTTCCGGAGCAAAAATCGAAACCTTTCATTATCTTTCAACAAAACGTAGCAGATATATGAGACGGATCTTGAAGTGGCGCCTTTTGTTATTTGCAAAGTTTTTAGTATTTATATTTTTCATGATTTGCATGGAAACAATTTGGACTAAGTAAAAAAAATCAGTAACTGTCGGATGATTTGTTCTTTCAAATTTCTGGAACCTGGGGGGATTTGTCATCTTTTGATGACTCTTGTTTTGATAAGTTATAGCAGTGAGTTTCACAAAAAAATAGACATGTCGTCAAACACAAAGCTGTAACTATGTAACTATATCTCTTCTATCCCTTTGTTTTTCTCTTGAACATGCCCTTGCAATGGGCACAGACAGTGTCATCCATGGTTTCTTCTCTCAACTTTCAACCTTGAATGCCAGTAAATAAAGTGCATATCAATGTTAATTATTAATTATCACTTTAATTTAACATGAGTTTAAACTTATACCTTCAAAAGAATAAACTTCATGCACAATTTCATATCCTCATCATTGTTAATGTTCTCAATAAACATATAATTGCACCTTGAAAAGCAGACTTTCTAACTAACACTTCACTGATAATTTAGAAAGCCTGCTATTTTTGCTGTCAAAAGATAAGAGGTACTGTAAGGTTTGCAAATGAATTTTCTTCAGTTGACCTAACAAATAAAAGCCTTCTGTCCAGTGGTGTATGCACAAGAGTTTAAGTATGATATTTGGCATTGTGCTGTAATTTGAATGATCCCCTCATTCAACAATTGATTTATTGGTGTATCCCCTTATTTTAGTATTTGTTTATAATTCGTGATGACAAATAACACTTTTTGACCACTTGGTTGCTAGTAACAAAAGGAAAAGATGATTTTGGCAAGGTTTGTAGCTGGTGCTTGAGACCTAATACAACATGGAGATATTCAAAATATTATACAAGGAAGGAGAGTTATGAACTGAGAAATATTTAAAGTTTTTGTATGTACATGAAATTTATAGATAATTAATTCGTGAACTCATTACTTATTTAAGTCCTAAATTCAATTAGTAAACTGTGTTTTGTAGGCAAATATTCAGGAGTAGTACAGAGACACACATGGAACTGTGAAGGTAACAGCAATAATCTTATATTATATCAGGGAGACTCTATAAGGGGGAGTGGTCACTCCTCGGAAAGCTCCTAAGCTATGCCTCGGCTCGTCACGTGATCAGTGTAGCCAATATGGCGGCAGCGTAGTTTTTAAGATTGAGCCCGGTTTATTTTCAACAGCTGATTACATACGCTGAGTGTTGTGACAACTGAAAACCTACATGTAGAAGATAAGTTACCTATTCTGTCACTTCATTTCAAGTCAAATAATTGTTATTAGTGTCAGTATAAGTACAGTAGCTTTGTAGTAAAGTTTCAAGTGGGCATGTTGTAGCTCACTGGCTTCAATTCTCAGTACACAGTGAAGAAAGACTAAATTATATCGCTAAAAACTTCTTTCACATATTCGTTTAATTTTTAGAAGGGAAATATACCTTTAGTTGAAAGGTGTTTGCAGGTAATAGTGATAGTTTTATAACTAAAAAATTTTTGGTAGGGTGTATTTGTGGTGTGTGAAAAATATGACATATCGCCGATCTGCCATTGAAATACTACAGGGCGTTGTTTGAGTGTTTCTAGTTAGTGTTCAAAAACATCTTTCATATACACCTTCAATTTTTATGAGGGGAATATACCATCACGTGAAAGGTGTTTGCAAGTAATAGTGATAGTTTTATAATTTAAAAAAAATTGTTAGTGTGTATTTGAGGTGTGTGAAAAATATGACATATCGCCGATCTGCCATTGAAATACTACAGGGCGTTGTTTGAGTGTTTCTAGTTATTGTTCTAAAACATCTTTCACATACACATTTAATTTTTATGAGGGAAATATACCATCAGGTGAAAGGTTTTTGCAAGTAACATTGATACTTTTTTTTTTTTTTTTTTTTAGTGTGTATTTGAGGTGTGTGAAAAATATGACATATCGCCATTGGTGCTTGTGATGCTTGAGTGTTATAGTTCTAAAACTTCTTTCTTTCTTGTTGATCTTAGTATTTGACAAAACTGGAAAGGTGTTTACAGCACTTTGTGATAGTTCTAAACTTTCTGTTCTTGAGGGGTCTGTGACAGTGTCAGTTAACATTCTGTCAATGCCCATGTCATTCCACACATGCAATAAGATATCTGAATTAGTTACTAATGTAAAAACATGTCTCAAAGTAATTTTTTTTTTGAAAATGGACAGCTGATGTTAACATATGTGTTCTACCGATAGTTTTGTGTTCTTTAACATGTTTGGGGAGGGATGGCCTTGGTGTATCATTTATTCTTTCATTCATTCACATATGTTCTTTTTCTTTTGTTCTTTTTCTTAATTTCTTTCATTCATTCACATAAAATTCTTGCTCTTAATTCATTCATTCATTCATTGTAAAATTCCGACTGATACAATACACTGGCTGAAGTACTGTTAAACGCAGCCGAAGTTGCGCTGGGACCGAACCAAGTCACTGTGTGCGTTGGAGCATGACGAGGCACACGTTAATTAGTACAAATGGTAAAGAAAGCAAGCGAGTGACCTATCCCTGTTGTAGAGTATCCCTGATTATATGAAGCATTGAAAACTCACCAGCAATTCCTTTGAACAGCTGTTGAAAAAACAGGGGTGGTCAGTCAGTCTAGATTGGAAACGAAAATCTCCATACAATCGTTTTAATTGCCTAAAATGTATGAAAATGTGTTGTCAACAAGCAACGAGGTATGGAACGCGTGTGTTACTATTTTGGGGAGGGATATCCCCTTCGCGTCACAGGTCAGGTGATTCAAAATGGCCCCGCTCATATCTGCGATGGACTGAGATGTTTGATGGCTTGATGGCTTGTAAATATATATTTGTGGATATTTTGATAACGAAAATAGGGCGCACGTGTAGGTATATGTACAAAGAAGTAATTCATATAAGTTTTTCGTGCGCAAAAATCGTAACGAGTGCGCGAAAGTGCGACAAAGGATTTCCACCATTGCGGCCTATGGAGGTGCTGCATAGCGTTCATGTGAGTGAACGCTATGTATCTTAGCTAGACAATAACAGGCGGGCCTTTCAGTTTCGCTCTGAAAACAGGATCTTGAATAGCTTACGCTATTTGACTGTAAATTCCCTTCAACCCATTTCGCCTCGGAAGATGTAAACTTCACAGAGAGAACACAAACAATTCCTAAAAACACTCTTAAATCCATCTTTCGTCTCTTGTCAAATGTTCGCTCGAAGAGGTCTATCTTCGGCCATGACAGTGTACAACGTCACGTGATCACCTCCATGGCAACAAAATATACAGGTGCTCGTCATTGTTAACAAGCTATATGCGTCGTATATCCCGGATCACTGGCTTAATTCACGTCGGCGACCCTGCTGTACATAGTGTTTTAATATCCTGAGCCGGTCAGAAGCTTACAAACAGAGCGCTCAACAATCACGGGCCGATACGGGATAAGAACGCCAATACGGTTATTATAGTGTGGTTCGGCCCGAACAATCTCGCCATTCCCAGCCATGCGTTGAAAGACAGGGAGCGTTAATGCATTGACAGTGATGTTGTGAAATATACCTTCCTATTAAATTGTGAGTGAGTATATACGCCGCCTTTAGCAATATTCCAGCAATATCACGGCGGAGGACACCAGAAATAGGCTTCCCACAATTAATTGTACCCATATGCATGATATGAGGAATCGAACACAGGTCTTCGGCGTGGTGAATGAACGTTTTAACAGCTAGGCTACCCCACCGACACAATACGACAAGAATATTGTACAACAATAGCCATATATTCTGTCAAGGGTCAGAAAGAGATTTCTATAAATACAGTATAATATATACTCATTTTCAATACATTTAAATATAATTTAATTCAATTCATTACATAAACGCTGATAACCAGTAGGCCTACATGCATCATTTAATTGATTCTAAACTTGAGATAAACTTGCTTTCAAGCAACGACTTAAATATCTATGTCCTATGCAGTATATTAATTAACCCATCAAAAGATTTTTGTAACTGTCATTTTCCATGACGTCCCCTGCATATTCTGATTGGTACCAGGGGCGGTGGGATAGCCTAGTGGTTAAAGTGTTCACTCGTAACGCCGAGGACCCGGGTTCGTTTCGGTTTCACTTTTCAGGTCAGGCGATGACTCAACAGAGTTGCTCTTCTCCTCAACATACTGCTCGTAAACTCGGTGCAGCGGTCGGTCAGAGAGCCTTTCTTGGAAAAACTGAGCCAGTTCAGCAGTGTGCGAAATAGTTTCCAAATTTTGCTAGCCAGCCAGGCTAGCTATGCCTGAAAGTTACTAGCCCACAAAATATTTCACTAGCCCGAAATTTGAATGTAGACACAGGTTTTAACATTACCCTGCTAATATGATGAACATGTTTACAAGGACATAATCTTGCATGATTTAAAAGTGTATAATGACTTAACAGGCCGGACAGAGTGTTATATTTACAAAATGACCCCATGAAAATTCATCAGTCAATCCGGAAAGTGACAGTGGAGATTCACTGGTCCGACTGTATTTTTTACTAGCCACGGGCTAGCGGGTCAGTGGCTATTTCGCACACTGCTGTGCCGATTTGATATGGTACTTCACTTGGCTGACACTCATATTATATATATCATGTACAGACCCGTCAATAAAATCAGCGTTAAGAGATGTTACCTAACATCCTAGGTTCTTGTTAGATAGCTGAGGAATGGGCTGTTTTCGCAATGAGTTTGGACTTGCTTCACAAGAACACCCCCACCTAGGGGAGATCAGGGACCATGGGGACTTGCCGTACCTTTACTACCTCCATGGGCCCTATAGCTGTATTTACATCATCTCTCTAGCAGCTTGCGATTAGCAGCCAAATTTAAAAAAATAGAATTCTCTGATTAAAACCCTGGCAACGATAAACATAACTTGAATGGTGTGGTTCTTACGAACCCTGAGAAGTCGAGATGTGGCAAGCTAACACAGACTGACGTTGATGCTGCTGCTCCCTAGACTAACGCTTAGTTCAGTTCAGTTCATTTATTCACCAAAAGACACTCACAGTGGTACACAGGGCAGTTACATAGTGATTCATGAATAATGTAATATTGATACGAGGCAATATCATTGAAGTTTTGAAAGGTTTACATAAATACATGTAATATATTTGCTTAACTTATCAACAGCTGTGTAATTTTTTTCCATAAAATGACTATGATGTTTAAAGTAATTATGTCTTGTACAACAATACTTTGGTACTAACTTGTTTTTATCTGCTAATAAAGAATTACACTCTGAATATATATAATTTTGATAGAAAAAAAATAACCCCATTTAAATTGAAAAGGAGGTCTCGACTTACTTCACTGAGGTTTCAGCATTGCCCCCCTTCCCAGGAAGGTCTACACAGACTTTGGGAAAACTGGTACCCCTCAAAGAGAGGCAATAATGTACTGGGAAATATAGCCTGTAAATAATATCAAATATGCACTTTCTAAAGGCGAGAATTTATGGATTTACTTATTTATTCAAATAAAATCATACACCGAAACGTCTTGTTCCTCAAATAAATTCTTACTCCGAAAATTTGTGTTCCTCAAACATATTCCTACTCCGAAACGTCGTATTCCTCAAATAAAGACGTTGACATCCATACATTATCACCTTTATTTGCCTTACTTCTAACTGCCGTTCAAAGACTCTCTGAAATTTCTTCGTAATTATTTCAATGTGTTTCACACCACACATATGTTAAGTGCAATTTTTCCATGTAGACTCTTTCTAATGATGTGATAATATTCTATCTTGTGTAAAATGATAACATTTTTGCTGTATTAGTGCTATTTGTGAAATATGTTCCACATAAAACTTGAATAAATATATCCTGTAAATAATTCAAATATGCTATTTCTGGTGAATGCTTCAAACTGGGTGATTTTTGGTATGATTTAATGATTAAATATGCATAATACACCTGTCCTGTAAATTACTTAAAATTGTCTTTTCTGGTGGTTTCACTTCAATGAAAGGTAAACATGTAATTATTGCTTAACTATCCAACCTTGACTAATCCCAGCAATAGCAGTCTGACAATTGGGAGTTTATGTACTCAACAGCAGACCAACGTTTGAGCTCATTAAGATGTAATCTGTGGTCAGAAAAACGTACATAGCCTTTTAATCTCATTAACCAAATTAGTAACAATAGGTAATTACCTGGAGTGAGAATTATATCGTTTGTCAAGGCAGCGAAATAAATACCTCCCTTGACATAATTGGTAAAAAGGCTTAATTAGTTGATGTGCTGAATTAACAATAAAGCAACTTTGAAGTTTGTTGTATGGAGGCAAGACAACTGCTCGATGATCAAGTTTTAAGTCTGAAAAATATATACAATATATATTTTCTTAAGTGTTATGATACATATTTTTTAATAGGTTGGTGAAATACTTTTCTGGAATTAAATTTATAATTCATTTATTAGTGCATATATTTACTGTTTTCATTATCACAAGAAATGAGACAGAAGTAATAAGTTATTGTGTCATATAAGTCAAGACTAGCACTACTACTGCTACTACAACAACAACTACTACTACTACTACTACTACTACTGCTGCTGCTGCTGCTGCTATTGCTACTACTACTACTACTACTACTACTACTACTAATGCTGCTGCTACTATTGCTACTTCTACTACTAGACCGCCTCCGTGGTGTAGTGGTTAGAGCGTCCGCCCGGAGAGCGGAAGGTCGCGGGTTCGATCCCCGACCGCGTCATACCAAAAGACGTTAAAATATGGTACTTGTTGGTCCCTGCCTGGCGCTCGGCATTAATGGGTACAACAAGGACTGGTCGGCTCGAAGTCAGTATAATGTGTCTGAGTGGGGTATTCATGCTTCACTGCGGCATGGTATCTCAGTGGGCTAGCACTATAAAACCAGCTTCAGTCTGGGCTAGTACAAGCAGCCGCACGTACACATACACGCGCATGCACGTCGTCATATGAGCGAAATATTCTCAAGCACGACGTTAAACCCAATTTCACCTCACCTCACCTCACCTCACCTCACCTCACCTCACCTCGAATTAGAAATAGAGTTATTGTTCTTGTTTGAAGTATCTTTGATGTTCATTCGCAGGGGGCGGTGGGGTAGCCTAGTGGTTAAAGCGTCCGCTCGTCACGCCGAAGACCCGAGTTCGAATCCCCACATGGGTACAATGTGTGAAGCCCATTTCTGGTGTCCCCCGCCGTGATATAGCTGGAATATTGCTAAAAACGAAACTAAACTCACCCACCCATTCGCAGATGTGAAATGAGGGGTACGCGTCGTTATTCGGCTTAGTTCAATACCCGATTTTACGAAACCGAAAAAGCACGAGGTCGATATCTTCGTATTCGCATCCATGAATGCAATGACGAGTCAGTAAGTGTTTATTATCCGATGATACTTGCTAAACAAACGAAACGTTCGAGTATTGATTCCAGAAGAATCATCAGCATCATCACAAAATAGTAACTTCCAAACCATTATGACATTATATAATACATTCCTGACAACATGTTGTTAAAACCCGATTTTATGAGTCTCCATAGACTCTTAACAGTCACAGAAATATTTTTGTTCACTTTATTACACAGCTATATAAAAACAGGAAAAAAATTCTGAACCAAATGTCCGTGTCTATGGCTAAGTGTCTAACGAGGTATATTTTTTAGAAAGTGTAATTACATGCACCATTTCGTGTGTAGCATGAACCTGTCAAGGCGAGATATCCTGAGTGAAACAAGACATTGATCTTTAGCTGCTGACACATGTGACAAATGAAAAAACCTAGGAAGAACCTTTTCTGTTTCATACATAGTTAAACATTGCTTTCCATCGAGACCTAACTAAAGCATCCACTGTGACGGGAATGAACTCCGTGATACGCTGGAACGTGATCCGACAACCTACAGTAATGTATCCAATAGTTCTGGTAGCTTTCCCGAATGGCGTAAATCGACCTCAGGTGTACAAATAGTCCTTACAGCTTAAGGTAAAACTACACTTTAATACTGCTTAGTACAAATATGTACCAACCATCTGAGACCCTCTCCACAACACGTTCGTAGCACTATGCCATTCGTTAGTTCTGTGATAAAGTATAGAGTTACGATAGATCGTAACGTTACGAACGCTTGTGGAGCCGGACCCTTGTCTCTGTGTGAGACATCGCTTGAGTGAGATTTCATTAGCGATATTTCCATAGAGATAACACAATGCTTTACGGACCATTCTGTCGTCATCGACACTATGACGTAACAATCAAACGTTATCTGCCACGAAAGCTGGGTCAAGGTCTAAGCTGGGCACCGTCTCGCATATCGCTAGCTTTGGCGCAAGGTGGCGAGCGCAAAGTATCAACTGACTAAAAAAAAGTCCTATACCTGACTACCTACCAACTAAAAGACGTACATCTGACTGTCTACTGACTAAAAGTCCTATATCTGACTGTCTACTGACTAAAAGCCTATATCTGACTGTCTACTGACTAAAAGTTCTATATCTGACTGTCTACAGA